CCCACTCCCTTTGCCCTGGTGGTGCCACAGCCTCCTCCCCATCCCCCCGAAAAAGCGGCCAGGAGAAGGATCACAACGCAGAGAGCACAAGGTCCCATTTATTGGAATTTTAAAGACAACAAGACGAGAGGAAGGCCTCCTCCCGCCCTGATATAGTCCCATCCTCTCTGCCCTAAGGGCTCAGCACAGGGACAAGGCCCTCACCCCTCAGGCCCCCCAGAGGGCAGCACTCCAGGGCGGGGGTGGGGGTGGGGGGGACTCTATGCCAGGCTGGGGTTGGGGGCTGGAACAGGAGGGGAGACGTGCACCCTCACCTCTTGGCTCGACCCCTCTCCCCTGGGACCTGGTGTTGCCCCCAGACCCTGGGGTGGGCTGGCAGACAGGGCTCATGCAACAGCGAGTGGGCAGGAGGTGGCCTGGAAACCGGGCCCCCACTGCCCTTTGGCGGGGCCGGAGGGCGAGAGGGGGCCATGCTGGCCGCAGCAGGTCCACACAGAAGTATCTGCAGTGTACACACAGGAGGGTTGGGGGAGGCCCTCAGTCCCGGGCTGGGCCCAGGGAGGCGCGAGGAGAGGTGTGACAGTGTTGCCCTAGCAGGGGCAGGGCCCAGGCCAGCCACACCGCCCGAGTGGGACCCCGAGCACAAGCTACTCCTTGGCGCGGCCGATGATGGTGAGGATGTACAGGAAGATGTTGATGATGTCCGTGTAGAGGTTCAGCGCGGCAAACACGTACTCCTCCGGGCTCAGGGACAGCTGCTTGTTTCCCAGCAGCAGCTGGGTATCCACTGCCAGGAACTGGAGGCGATGGGCAGCACTGGTGAGGGACAAGCCTGCCCGCCCGGCCCCCCCGCCCGGCCGCCCACCCCCGCACTCACGCAGGTGAAGAGCAGGGCGCCCAGTGAGGCGTACACGATCTCCAGGATGCGGTTCCGGATGAAGATGCAGAGGATGGCGAAGATGACCAGCACCACCAGGCTCACCAGCAGCACGCCCATGCACGAGGTGAAGTCGTAGCGGGTCTGTGGGCACAGGGGGGACAGGAGGCCCTGGGTGCCAGGCCCCCGCAGGCGTCTGGGCCCTGGGGGCCAGCAGCCCCGCCTTCAGGGGCCCTCACCTGCATAGAGAAGATGACCACCGTGAAGCAGACCGTCGTCGTGATGCCCACGGCCATGATGACCGCCTCAGTGTTGTAGAAGCTGGCAATCATGCCCACCATGTAGGACAGGCTGACGGTCAGGATCGACTGTGGGGACACGGAGCCTCGTGTGTGGGAGCCGCTGCCCACCCCTGCCCCCACCCCACCCCCTCCTCCTGTGGCTGCAAAGTGTGGTAGCGTGGGGGGGGGAGGGAGGGCTGCGGGGCCCAGGCGCTGGGGTTACCAGGGCAACGAGGTTCCAGGGATGCTTTCGCCGGAAGTCTCCACAGCAGCTGAGGACAATGAGGGAGATGAAGAAGACAGCATAGGACACATAGTACGTCCACACGTTCTCCCGGACGAAGCCCTTCACCTTGCCAACAAAGGTGAACACGGCCACAGTGGACAGCGTCACGGACAGCTGCAGGGTCAGCACCAGGAACACCTAGGGCGGGAGCCAGCTCAGAGCCCTGCCCAGCGGGACCCCTGCCCCCCTCCCCCAGCCTCTTTCGCCCACCTTCCGGATGAAGGCCTGGCGGATGCTCTTGTCATCCCAGTTGGTGGCAGGGAAGTCCTGGTTGTCGTAGTAGGACGGGGGGCCCTCTTCATGGTAGTTTCCATGCTGAGGTGCTGAGGAGCAGAACGGGCTGGGTCAGCACCACGGGAAGGCATCTGGAGCCCCTTGCGCCCCCCACCCCCCACCGGCTGCTTCCCCTCTACTACTCACAGTCAGGGTCCTGTGCTGGGAAAGCCTGTGGTTGTCCATAGGGGTTGGGGGGAAAGGGGCTCTGCGGATATGGCCCCTGAGGGTAGCCCCCTTGAGGGTAGGGACCCTGAGGGTAGCCTCCTTGGGGGTAGGGGCCCTGAGGGTAGCCCCCTTGGGGGTAGGAGCTGGGGCCCTGGGGGTACCCTGGCTGGCCATATGGAGAAGGCTGGAAGGGGGCTTGTGGGTAAGGGGCTCCAGGGTAGGGAGGCATGGAGGGCTGGGGTCCCCCAGGATATCCAGGGTTGGGGGGAGGATAGCTGTCTCCAGACACCAAGAAACTCTTTTCATGGGGCATGGCCTCAGATTCTGTGGTCTCCCCCTAGAGGAGAGAGAGAGAAGTCAGCTCTGCAGTGACAAGTCCCCGGAACCAGCCACCGCGGCCCTGCCCCACCTGCTGCAGGGAACGAGGACACAAAGGGGGGGCATTCATGACTTTTGCCCCCAGGGCCATTGGCAACCCCAGAGCAGAAGGACCAGGAGAGCCAGTGGGGACCCGTTAGCTGGGCCTGGGGCTTCGGAAGGAGCCGTTCTAAGACGACCCCAAAAGTGGAGGAGGGGACAGGCAAGACGATGACTTCGTCAGCTTCGGGATTTTTTGGTTTCGGTTGTTTCTTAGGTGCAACTGGGGGAGGTTCATGACCGCTGCTGGCGTCTCCCGGGTCAGAGCTCAGCCCGGATCGGGGCTGGGGGCGCGGTCAGGGAGGTGTGGGGGTGTGCCCGGACCCTCCCCTTAGCCACCCTCCCCTTAAGCAGCTTTAAGGGGCCAGAGCCGGCGGCTATTTCTATCCCAGGAAATCCCCAGGCCATCTGTGAGCAGCGAGAGCCCTGACCCTTGTCCAAAAGCAGGTCCGACTGCCCCTCGCTCCCAAGGTGGGGGGCAGCAGGCCTGGATCGGCTGTCGGAGTGCCTGCCTGGAGGGTACGCCAGGAACAGCGGGGTGCGGGGGTGTGTGGGGGATGGAAGCGACCAGAGGGCGTGCGGGGGAACAAAGCAAGCGAGACAGAGAGGCGGGTGGGGGCGGCGGCCACGGATCCCGCACCGAGGGCGGATGGGCCCCGCTGCCCGG